CCCCCACGCCCGATTGGCTCCTGGGAACAGGTGGTGAGGTCCCTCTTTGGGCTTCCGCGAATTAGGAACACAGATGGGCTCCGGTTGTTTTTCCTTTTAGTTTGTCAATCTACCCAGGCGTCTGCTGAGCTCAGCGGATCCAGGTCCAGGTCTGCAGAAGGAGGCCCGCTAGCGTTTCAGAGAAAGAGAGCAGGGCATGACGTCTGATGAAGTAATTTAATATTATTGTATACGTGTATTGTCTTAGGACTCCTGGTGTGGCGCTGTGGGTTAATATGTTGGATTGCAAACTCGGTCTGCACTGCAAGATCGGCGGTTCAAGTTCACCAGCTGCTTCCCAGAAACCCTATGCAGGGTCACTAAGCGTTGCAACTGATTTTACAGCACTTAGCAGCAATAAAAATTGTCTTAAGTTTATATCTATAAATTTAAGTATGCAAAGCGTGAATACAGCCATATGAATTCACATATTTGCAAGGACTCAGTCCCTTCATTTTACATCTGACAAAACCACCTAGAGTTTAGGGGGCTTCTTAGGGCAACACCCAGTTTGAGACTGGAGGACACTGGAATTGAGGCCATCGCTAGGGTGCTGCGCTTTACACCCACTAACCGGTTGGGTGTCCTTTGGAAAACTTGTCATTTGGAATGTTCTTTGGCCATGTGTCCTTGACTTGAGAAACTCAATCATGAAAATAGAGCCAAATGTGGGCCAGAAATAAGGGAGAGCTAAAAGCAGTTTCTTTCCTTCCATTTTATGTATGTAATCTTACGGGTTAATGCACTGGACTGCAAGGTCAATTTGAACCTCAAGGTCAGCGGTTCAAGCCCACCAGGCACTCCTTGGAAACCCTATACAGGGTCTCTATGAGTTAGAACCAACTCTAGGCACTTAAAAGCAATAACAATAGCAAAGGCAGTTTATTTCCTTCCATTTCATGTATGTGAGCTTTTTGTTTCAACTTGATTAGGACACTTTTGCACTTTTGTTATTAATAAAGTAGTTGTCTTTTTATTGCTGCAAATATGTGTAAAACTGGAAAATTCAGTTTATAATGTTAAAGTTCTTGGTTTCAGAGAGGACAGGATAATTTAGGAATTTAAGTTTTGCACTTATAAAATATGTAACACTTCGTCTTTAATAGGCTGTGTTTTGAATTCTGGTGCCTCAAACTTATTTTCCCAAATTCACTGATGGAAGTTGACAGACAAGCAGGGTGGTATGGGGTGGTATGGTGGAAAGTCTTGGAGAGGGAACTGGAAGAACTGGGCCCTACTCTTGACTCTATTATGGATTACTGTGTGTCTTGAGTTGCAATCTTCTTAGCCACAAAATGAGAACAATTGCACCTAACATAATACAACTAACATGCATAAAATTGAAAATGCATTAGCCTCATTTACATGTTATATTTTATCATAAGAGATGGAACAAGGGAAAGAAAAAACAAAGATATTATTTTGCACACACATATACATGTGTAACAAAAAAATGGGAAGAAATATTAAAAATAATTACAGTCCTTGTTTCTGCAACTGGTCATGTGATCGTAGCTGGTATTTAGAACAACCTTCTACCACCCAATCCACATTCCTTTTGCCCTCAGTAAGCACCTCAACTGATCATGATTCTTTGCCTAGAAGAACCCAGTTGAGTTGCTGTAGTTTTCAATTGACTTTAATCACAGGGATGGTATTGTTAAGAACTGCTCTAAGAGTATTCCAGACATAGTCTTCTTTGTCTTCATAAGGTAAATATCAATCTGATTTTCCCTTGGTAATCAGGACTGATCACACGAGTCAGTATAGTAATTCCCTTTTTTACCTGTTGATCCAGAGGCATGAGGACCCCAAAGTGACCAGGTGGCATTCTTAGCTTCCTATTTAATGGGATCAGCATTGTGTCTTTTAGTAGGAGCATCTCTTTCCCTTTGGAACTAGGACCTCTAGACCCTCAGATCATAGGGTTGCAGGGACAGGAAGCAAAAATTTTGCGAATGAGTCAATAGTGCTAATAGTGACTAGTGCCCTTCCCTTTTCCATTCCTTGATTTCTGGATTCGTAAATCTTGGCTGTGGGAGAAAAGACACCATATATTGGATGCTGGATTACAGTATATATAGCCTGTTAGAGAACTGGACCTGGACCAAGAGGCAGTTTTTCTAACAGAACATGGGAACACTGAATGTTTTAAAATTAAGAAAGGTGTGCAACAAGGTTGTATTCTTTCACCATACTTTTTCAACCTGTATGCTGAGCAAATAATCCGAGAAGCTGGGTTCTATGAAGAAAAACATGGCATCAGGATTGGAGGAAGACTCATTAACAACCTGCGATAT